GGTCATTACCAAAGTGTCTCGGCTCAGGAACTTAGGTATAAGAGGGGAAGGTCATGAATTGAGCACACCACTCACCCGATCAAAGATCGGCCTCTACTAATCATGATGTGATTTTTATGTACAGTATATGCTCTTGTTCCGATTATTATGCTACCTTTACTATGTGATGCGCATAAGTATAGACTAATTCGCCCAATTTAGAACGTTTTGATTTCATGTTTGTTTTGAAAAGTGTTTTAAATATGTACCACTTGAAAAGTGATATCATATGTACATTAATCAAACTATCCCAATTTAAGTGAAAAAGCTTTCATCCACCAGCGTTCAAACAGGTATATCAACTAAGAACTTAGCCTCATGGTAAACATGCTTGACATGACAATAATCACACACATGCAATATGCTAAAGCAAAAAAATGCTTACCCCAAATATCCGAAACGAGCCCAAAAGGAAGAAAATAGTTAGAAAGAAAAAAAAATGCATGATCTTACATGATGCAACATGACTAATGCAATGCATACAACATACAATTAATAGGCTCAGCTACTATCATGGCATGTGAGTCAATTCAAGGCATGCAACAAAACACGTATTCGAGTAAGGAATTTGAATTTGACATTGATTAGTATGATGAGCTGGACCCTTTATGCATCCAAAACGAATGGATGCAAGTCATGAAAAATGCTAAGTAAAACATGATGCTATACAACCACAATAAGCGGATAAATAAAAGGGAGAAATAAGTGGGGGTTGGAAGACATACACAATATTACAATTGTGTCCTTATGCAAGAGGATTCGAATGAATGTCCTAATTAACTAATTATTACAACACAAAATTAATTAATTAATCAACTAGCTATTACAAATTCAAAGGAATTAATAAGCTAATTTAACTAATTATTACAATTTGAATGAATCTAATTAATTAATGAACTAGCTACTATTAAAACATTAAATCAAAGGAATGGACAGTGAGGAGTCTCATGCGCACAAGCGAGAATATCCTCCCGAAAACTCCTCTATTCTGCTACCAGATTTTGTTCTGTTTGCAGTTAGAAAATTAATCTACTTGCACCCCAGCCTTTGCTCTGTTCTGCCATGAAAATGGCACTGCCTACAAAAAGTAAAGTGGCCGGCCGGCCGGACCGGAATGGTGGTTGGCTGGCCACTATTTTTGGACTCTGCCTTGCTACAACAA